AATAATAATTTATAAAATAGCTTACTTTAGCCTAAAATAACCTATTCTACTTAACTCTAAGAAATTAAAGCTAAAAAGAGAGATATTATTAGAAACTTATATTCTAGATAGTTAAATAATATTATATAACCTAACTTAGCATAAGTATAAGTAGATTTAGAAAATTATTACCTAGAAAGTAATAATTTATCTATTCTTACTAGATAATATACTATTACTCTACTATCTTTTATATTTTATATTAATTAGTAGTTACTTATCTAATATATATAGCTAGTACTAATAGCTTTTTAGTAAATAAAGCTTTATAATAAATTATATTAAGTTTAAAATTTAAAGTAAAAACTAAAAAAGTAAAATAAACTACTTAGTTATTAGTAAAAATAAAAAAATAGTAGTTAAAAGAATTTTAAAGTAGTAAAGTATTTATAATTATAATAAAAAAATAAAAATAGTAGTAGTAAATATACTTTTATAAATATATTATTTAAGCTTTAACTTTAGTTTTATAGTATAGAATATTTTTATTTTATAAGCTATTATAATAACTTATTATATATTTATTATAAAGTTATTTTAAGCTACTATAAATATATATAAAAATAACTACTTTAAATAAATAGCTTAGTAAACTACTATTACTAAATATTTTTTTCTTAATATATATAACTAAAGTACTTTTATAAAAAGACTTCTTAGGCTTAAGCGCGAAAGACAGAGAAGCTGCTATCTCGACGAAGACCGCAGGCCCCGGGGGCGGCGGGGCGCCTGATGCGTGTCTAGCGTGTCACGGAAAGTGGGGCATCGCGGTCGCGTCTCTAGGTCGCGTGGCTCGTCTCCTCATCCATCTCATCATTGCCGCTGTCACCAGCAAACGTGCGATCATCAACGCAACTTATCCTCATGTCTCAATCAGCGTTCTGCCTACCACCCAAGGTATCTCCTCATATTTTTTAGGCCTATACTGGTTGCAGCGTCGCATCCGTTTGCTTCCTTCGGAAAACATCCACGTTCGCCCGTGTGCTGCAACTAGACCCCAGTCCCTTTCGAGTTCAGCTTCCACGTAGACATTGGATATGATCTCGTCATAGTCGTTCACATTTCATCTCACCATCTCCAACAACTTACCCTCTGACGCTGTCCTCGCTTTTCACGATGTTGCATACGCTTGCAACGTCAGTCTATTGAGTGGCAGTCAGTTGCGTCGCAACTATTCAGATCGGTCTGTTTCGATAATGAGAATGCTTGGAACACGCGTCTCATGCTTGCTAGAATCATCAATGTGAGTCGCAGCGTATTAACCTCGAATCTCCGAGTGAATCGAGTCCCACTAGCATACCTACCTAGACCGATGGGTGTGTCTACTTGCAGCTAGATCGTCAACAGCTCTTACGTGAGCTTGAAACCCGGTATATACGTACAGCAGATGTGGAAGTACAAGGATCAGGAAGAGAAGTGGACACAACAACCCTACCAAGAGTACAACGTGATATCACTTCCTGGAGCAAGAGCGGTGATGTTACGGACAGGGTTCAATGACTACAAGCTCAGAGGAATGCTCTCGAGGCTCTTGCCACGATCTGCTCTTGGTGACAAGGATATAAACATTTGCGCTCCAATTCATTTGACACCTCTGCCAGCCCGAGCGGTGTGTAGTCGCACACTCTTTCACTTAGCATGCTGGCCACGCCGTTGCCTACGCGGACTTGCCCCTCACTCTGTCGCGCCTTCCTCACGGACCCTACTTTCGAGACCCTCACCACCCGACTAGCGCTTGTGCCTAGCTCTTCTGTTGTATATCAGCTCGCGCCCACCGGCCTCGTACAGCTTCCCCTCCACCGCGCCTTCCACTCGCTTCCTCAACCCTCTTTCGCCCTCTTCAAAATCGAAGCAATTGCGGACGACGACTGCAGCTTCCGACGATGCGCTTTTCCGTCTTCACTCTTCTAGGGCTGGCCGCTACCGGTGGCTACGCCGGCAGCTCTCCATCCTCTACGGTCGCTTCTACGGTCGGCAGCGGACAGGCTGGAATCCAGGGTGCGGCGGATCCCTCGTCCATCTTAATTCCCCGACAATACGGAATTCCGACCGACCCGATCTCGGTCACGACATCTGTACAAGGTACCGTCGTTCCACCGACCAGCGTCCACTATCCCCCGGTCGCCTCCAGCGTGGTTGCTGTCCCGCCTCCATCCATCGTGTCTTCGGTGCAAGGCTCTCCCCGCCCGCCTCCGTCCTCCGTGGTCGCTATACCACCGCCTACAATTGTGTCTTCGATACAAGGCTCACCTCGACCTTCCGCATCCTCTGTAGTCGCTGTCCCGCCACCGTCCATTGTGTCTTCGGTGCAAGGCTCTGCGAGCCCGTCCTCTGCAGTCGCTGTCCCACCCCCATCGATCGTGTCTTCAGTACAGGGCTCCGCAACTCCATCCTCAGTGGTATGGAGCAGCCAGCCCTCGTCTCAAGCTGCATCATCTCAGTCGGCATCCTCGGTGCAAGCCTCCGCGCCTCCGTCATCAGTGCAAGGACCTGTTGCGCCATCCTCTACTGTGTGGAGCAGCCAGCCTTCGTCTTCTCAATGGGCGTCCTCGGTGCTGCCTCCTGCCCCGTCGTCTTCCGCAGCTTGGAGCAGTCAACAGTCCTCTCAAGCTGCGTCTTCGTCTTCTCAATGGACGTCTGCTGTGCCGCCTCCTGCCCCGTCGTCTTCCGCAGCTTGGAGCAGTCAACAGTCCTCTCAAGCTGCGTCTTCGTCTTCTCAAGCTGCATCCTCGTCTTCTCAGTGGGCATCCTCCGTACCGTCTTCTGTCCCGTCGTCCACCGCAGCTTGGAGCAGTCAAGTATCCTCTCAAGCTGGCTCAAGTGTCGTTGTGCCGCCCCCCACTGCATCCTCGATTCAAGGAAGCTCTACTGCACCATCTTCCCGCGCCCCGACAAGCTCAGTGGTTGGATCATCAGCCGCCCCATCTTCTGGAGCGTGGAGTTCTTCCGCGGGATCTGTAGCGCCCACGAGTATATCGAGCAGCCAAGCCGGTAGCACTTCGACTGCATGGTCATCGGCATCACCTAGTACCTCTGTGTCCGCGTCTGAATCACTCGTCGCGCCTTCTGGCTCATCTTCTGTGGCTCAGTCAAGTGCTCAAGGCAGTTCGGCTGCACAATCGTCTGGAAGCGCAATCCCGAGCACTCGATTGACTTCAGTCCAAGGCAGCACTACTGTAGAAGGCATCATCATCATCCCTACTGGGATTTCTGGTAGCAGCACCTCTACTGGCATCATCATCATCCCTCCTGGTTTCACGGCAAGCACTACCTCGGGTGGCTCCATCGTCATCCCCACTGGAATTCCTGGTATCAGCACCTCGAATGGCATCATCATCATCCCTCCTGGTTTCACGGGAAGCACTACCTCGAGTGGCTCCATCGTCATCCCCACTGGAATTCCTGGTAGCAGCACATCGAATGGCATCACCATCATCCCTCCTAGTGGAAGCAGCACCCCAAGCGGCTCCATCATCGTCCCTCCTGGTGTCTCGGGAAGCAGCACCCCAAGTGGCTCCATCATCATCCCTCCTGGTGTCTCGGGAAGCAGCACCCCAAGTGGCTCGATCATCGTCCCTCCTGGGGTCTCGGGAAGCAGCACCTCGAATGGCATCACCATTATCCCTCCGAGTGGAAGCAGCACCCCAAGCGGCTCCATCATCGTCCCTCCTGGTGTCTCGGGAAGCAGCACCGCAAGTGGCTCCATTTCTGCTCCGATCGTGATTGGGAGCAGCACTATACCTCCCAGTCCGATGCCTACAGGCGTAGGCTGTCCCGAATTGTGTCGTTCCCTCGAGTGGTGCCTAAAGTATTGTGTGGGCTATGTGTTCCCTCGCCCTCCCGATGAAGAACCACCGCACGAATGTCTTGAGCCAGCTAATTACAAGTGGTGTCATCTATGGTGGTTTGGCCCGGATGACGACGGTGGTAAGGATGGTCACCCAGGCGATCCAGACTCTGTTACAGACAGCGACCCCGAGTGCAAAGAGGAGAACTGTATCGCTGCATGCGTCACACAGAGACTCGCATCATTCTTGCTCTTCAAGCGGCCTTTCTGCCTTTGTGTCCCACACAAATGTGACAAGGATCACGACAGCGACAGTCCTAGCGATAGCGACAATGACGATCCATCAGTCAAGCCGCCAAAGCCAAAGCCGACATCGTTTCCAAAACCTACGAACCCTAAATGTAAGCTTTTCGGGTGTGGATGCGGGTGGGCGGGACTAGGGTTCGGGCCTGGCTGCCCTGAAGATGTCGTTCCGCCCATTTCGCTCACCATTCCATGTGGTATCTTCGGCTGTGACCCGTGCATCTTCTTCGGTTGTCATACCGGCCCGCGGCCTACGGGTATCATAGGCGCCGACGGATACTGTCCAGGTCCAACAGGGTGTGATCCATGCCCGCCAGAACTTTGTAGCCTCCCAGGTTGTACCGTTCCGGGCGGTTGTGGGCCGAAGCCTGGCCCTGCGCCAACTAAACCGGCGGACCAACCAGACCCAGAAGATTGCGACGACAACATGCGGACCACCATCACTGATCGCTTCGTCATGTGCACGGAGGGTTTTGACGTTTCGTCCATGCCTTCTAGCTATAGCTTCTTCGGCGGTGGTACATCATCCACGATGGTTACATCTGTATGTCTGCCGCTGATCGATGCCACGAGGACCATCTGCGAGCCGGCTAAAGGCTACGACACCACGACAACGCTGACTACTACCGGCACGCTAACTTCCGACGCCCCAGCATGTACCCGAGCACCGCTCTCTTTGGATGATGATGAGGGAAACAACAATCCCGATGAGCCATCAAACACGTGGACGTACTCTAGCATGGGTTCATCAACCTCAAAAAGCTCTTCCAAGGTATCGTCTAGTAGTTCCTCGTCGTCTAGCAGGTCCTCGTCGTCCACCAGTTCTTCGTCGTCCACCACTTCGGCAGCACCAGCTCCTAGCCATACACCTATGGACAGGAACGGCCACTGGACAGTGGAATTTCAGCAATTCTTGTACGACGACTACGCGGAATTAGGATGGGACTTGTACGATCCCAATGGCTTCCACGCGGGTTTCCACAATGTACGCGGTTACAACAAGGACTCGAAAATCACCGACTACATCCAGAGCGTTAATCGTCCGTACGGTGATTCAATGCCTTTTGGAGTTGACGTGACCGTTTATGAACGTAAGTGAACTCTTTATCGCCTTATTAGACACGCGCTAACTTTTCCTAGCACACAATGGTGATATGGCCAAAGTCAATTTTGAGATCCGCAAGAAGGTCACCGGCTGCGATTCCATGCCGGGCATCCCATGCAGGCCTTACATGACAACAGAAAATCGCATCGAAAGTGACCCATGGAGGCTGCAGACTTGCGAGCAAGCTTGTAAGGATAACAAGAAGAAGGCTCCTCTGGTTTCCAAAGACATGTGGTGCCAGGATCTCAACGCGGCAGATTGGCAACCCATGTATAAAGGGTACACTGGATGGCAGCGCCATTTCAAGTGTGGTTGGAAGGGATTTGATTGAGCGTTCTGTCCCCTGGAGGCTAACGGTATAATTGTGTGGGTATTCAGGAGTGGCTCGTACCAAATTGATAATTGTACTGTGGACATGTGGGCAAGACTGTAATCATATAGATGGATGCCAGCCGTGTGCTCCAATACTAGATGCCGTGTCGATATTTGAACTGGATGGTGTACGCATATCGAGCTTTTCATGTTTATCTCAAAAGTGACGTTGGGTCAGGGCACTTGCAGACTATCTGCTTGTTTTCTATCGTCGGACTGATACTGTATACCAGGTACGTATTTTTAGGCCCACACATTCCATGACATTTGGTGTGTAATTCCTATTGGAGCTGTTCAAAGCAACAGGGCACATATGAACAAGATTCCGCCGACACGCCTATTGTCTTGTCAGTATTGCGAGTCTCTGTAGATTGATTGCATGCATTTTGAGTGGTTCACTGCTCGATCTGCGCGAGTGTTGCTAATCATGGGCAGAACCAGAGTACCTCCTCCTGGGGCTCCACTGTCGCGTGTCTCGCTACCCGGACATCACTGCACACCTTGAAAGCCCTGCTGTGCCCTGCCGAATGGGCTCAGTACCTCCTCCCTCCCAATACATTGCATCGAAACTCTTCAAAGCAGTATCGCAACGATGTCTCAAACTGTTAGCCAAGACGAAAAAGATAGCCTGGCCGATATCAGCGCCGCGGAAAAGGGCCTCGAATCTAGCAGCGGAAACCATACAAGAAAGTCCACGCCCACGACTTCTTATGGAGAGATGCGACAGCTTCTCTACCGCCGATCTTGGGTACGTAATGATCCGATCTACAGTGTGTATGATGCACTTGCTGACTTCACAACCCGACATTCAGGCTTTATTGCAGGTGGTGGGAACAATCTTGCAGGGCCTCGCCATATTGCTCTTTGGGATCGTTCTCCTTATCCTTTCCCTTGCCGCTGCCAAGTTGGCCTTCCTTCTTATATTCGGCGCTATTAAGATGATCCTCTCGCTCTTGATCATGTTGATTGGGTTCATCGGCATCCCGATGCCGGCAGCTGTTGCCCAATGGGAGCCCTTTGGTTAGTTTCGAAGAGTCTGCGAGAAAGGCATCAAGTTGGATGCTAGCCCAGTCAAAACGTGGGCTGAAATTTGGATTCGATTTAAATCATGTAATGACACGCCACTCAGTTCCCCTCTCTCCTCTGCTTCTCATCTCCTTTGATGTTCTTCCGATCAACGTACTCCATACCTGTCCCCGAGTGCGTGTTGCTGCCACTGTTCGAATGTTCTTTCTGCGCCTCGTAGTCTTCCTGATCCTGTGCGGCCTTCTGGGGTGTTTTGGCGGACTTTTGTACACCAAAGGTGTCTTCGCTGGTCTTTGAGGGGTCGTTGACCTGGTCTTGAGGGTATGGTGTTAGTGAAGAGGAATGACGTGGAAGGTGCGGGAGACGTACTCGGCATGGTGATTTCGCTGGGACTGATGCTGTGGAGCTATGGTACTTGGGCCCTCAGCAGGAGATTTGTGCGAAATGAAGTTCTTTTGAACAGTGTGTAGACGTCATGAGAACGTCGGGTTGCGTCAACGTCAAGATGACGACGCGGAAGTCATCACCGAGCGTCCTGCATCATGCATCTGCGACACACTTGACATCAACGTTCAACAGCCGTCTTGAATCAAGCTGTTCGATTGTTCGTGACTACGTGTTGGGGCTCGCGCATCCCGTCGCGCGTTCCGACGCGTCAACCGAGGCGCCCTGATCGACGAACTTCAACCCCGCTACCAGCCACTTCATCCCCGATGCCTCTCAGCCCTTCTTCTCCTCGCCCTTGCCGCCGTCTTTCTTGTCCCCATCCTTCTTTGATGAATCGCCCTTGTCGCCCGATGCTTTGGGAGGTGGTGCGCTACCGCCGCCACCGGAGTTCATGAACTTGTCGTCGAGCTGGTCTGGAAGTTGTTAGCTACTGGAGCATAGATCACTCGGCATCCAAAGCGTACCCGACATGTTGTGATATGTGAAGAGAAGTTAAGGCGAGGATGAAGTCGTTATGGAGGCTGACTTTGGGAGAAGCTGAAGAGGAGGATGGGATGACCAGACCTTAAGGTGCGGTTTTCCAATACCTGCCTTGTGGTACAGCATGCGACATGACGTTGTTGCGCCTTTCCCCACATTCGACTACTTGGCTGGAGTCTAGATGCTGCATGGTGCTAGTCTGGCCGTTTACCCGTCTCTGAACTATTTCGTAAGAGGCGATGTCACGAGGAAGCGGGAAGACGTTGTAGAAGTGCTTGTTCTACGGACAGTAAGACCTCAAATGAGCTATCGTACTGCAAAGTACCATGTACATCGAACGTAAAGCTGCCAAATCCTTGCGCAAAGACTGCCATGCTTTACAGATGGAGAGGATGTACGAAACGCTCTATCTAGTACCGACGACCCCTGCCACCACGCGTGCCCCGATCCCACCTACCGCCACCTCTTCCGCCACGATTTGGGAAGAAAGACGGGTTTCTGAAACTGTTGTTCTCATACCACCAGTAATCATCCCGCGAGATATGCAAATCTTCCGACTTCTCCACGTAGCGTTCCTCCTCTTGTCGCAAGAGGTAAAGTCGGCTCTGGCTCAGCGGCATGATCGAGTAGCCAGCGGTAACACTGTCGGTTATGGTGCGTCGAAGGAACGAAGTGAACTGAGGCTGAGAAGGCAAATCCTTAAGACCCATCTTGGCCAAGAATTGCGGAAAGGCGTCGAACTGCTGGATCTCGCGAATATCCTCGGCCATGCGCGTTGAGGTACCCGGCGGAGGAGCTCCGTGGGCGTCAAACAACGAGTCGCGAAGTTCAACCAGGGTCTTACCGGGTGGACGTGCTGCTGCGCTGAACATCTTCAGGAACATCATGAGGCGGTATGATGTGGGGGAGGCGGCGTATGTCTTGCTGGTACGGTATTCAGAGACCTTGGAAGGCTCCAGGTATGCCAGCTCGGCCATACCAGCGCCCTTCTCATCAAGCGTCCAGACGACGTTGCGGATGATGGCTTCTTCGATGATCTCATACGTCAGGTCTTCGGTAAGGCCGTCGTCGCAGATGAGAGCCGCTATGAGAACGTGACCGAGATCGGGGAAGTTTGCCTTGTTGCGCGGACCGGCCATGAAGCGTCTGATCGTGTCGTTGGCACTGTCAGTGATGTGAGAGTTCTCGATCGCCAGGCATAGCAGTAGGTGGAAGAGACCGAAATACGCGTCGACGGCCTTCTCTGACGCGTGACTCAAGGTGCTGCGTGCGTCAGGGCCGCTGTAGCTCTCCGCATCTGATGAGAACTGAACGACAACGGTGTTCATAGTATGATACAGGATGTCCACATAGCAAGCTCCAGGGTTCGTGATGTTCGCAGTTCTGTGGATATCCAGCGTGCTCTCCATCACATGATCTCTAACTTGATTCCAGTGGCGTCGGCTCAAAGGTAGAGGTAGCCAGATATCGAACTTAACACCCTGAACGCTGCGTCGGATGTGGTGCTTGTAGAACGCCTCGTGACTCAACAGATCAAACTCTGTTCGGAAGACCGGCCGGTTACCGCCTGTCACGGCGATACCAATACCAAGCTTGGCGTCGAGGAATGATTCTTTGAGACAAAAGCATTGCAGCTCGCGAATGCGGATGAAGTCGTAGGAGTTCATCTTGTGCTTGATGAAGGGAATGGCGTCGGCGAAGGCCAAAACGTCAACGGTCTTGGAATTGCTGAGGATCTCGAGAAGGATCTCATCTGGTAGCCTAAACAACCCCGAAAGACCTCTCTGATGCTGGCTAGGGGCTGGGGCGACAACATCTGGTGCGGGTGAGTCGATCTCCATTCCACCAGCTGGTACTGGTGACGAGTCTTCTCCAAATCCACACAGAGAGCATTTGAAGCGATCTTCTCCGGAAGTTTGAGCCTCTTGCTGCCGATACCAAGCCAGGTCGACAGTTTCATTACCATGGTCTTGCTCTAGCGAATCACTAGAGAAGAAGCTCAGTAGCTGGATGGCGATACCCTTGAGGGTATACGCTGGCGTCCAGCCCTCATCGGTGTTCAGCATGGTGGCGCAAACATAGTCGCTGAAGACGTTTGGATGGATGATTGCGCTTTGGATCGTGACGTCGGGCGCCACCAGCGGATATCGGCCGGTGAAGCGGATCTTGAGGTGAAGTGGCTTCTGTCCTTCCGGAGTGAGAACAAGACACGCTCTTGTGATGTCGTTGTCCTGGAAGTGAATGCGGACGTTGGGATACGGATCTTGTTCGATCTCCGCGATGTCCTTGAGGAGGCGACGTCGCAGTGAGCGTGACTGAACCGTGTTAGCTTGGTACTGCGTCATGACGACGAGGTGCTGCGAGGTTGCGGTCGCGAGGTTCGGTTCCGTCAAGAGAATGACAAGAGACGTTAAGAGGAAAGAAACAGAGGTTATAGCGCGCGTTCGGGTTGTCAGTTGCTGCAGGTGGCCCAGGCTGAGTCATGCACGTGACTAGGCAGCACAACAAACAAACGGAAGTGTGGGTCTTGACGCCCTTTCAGATTGATGGACAGCTATCAAACCTGTCTGATACCGCATTGAAGGGATCGCATGACCAGTCTTCTGCTCCCAAAGCATCTACTGAATGGCTTTGCGCGGACAGGCAAAGGGGGCCTGAGTTAGCTATATCCAAGACTAGTGGCTTCGAGTTTATCATAACGCAACGTAATCCCCACGGCCTAAAAGTCATCTCTGGTGCTATTATGTCATTGGAAAGTCTGTTTGAATGACACATCCCAGTGCGCCTTAACCAAGTGGTCCAGAAAAGGGCGTCAAGGTAGCCAGCTAGGGATGGCTTGCTAAGGTTGAGTAGTGCGACTGGGTGAATAAAGTCCCATATTCTCACAAAGTGTCGCATGTCTTTGGTCTGCATGATGAACTGAGATGAGGACAAATGGCTGGAGGAATTCAAGGAAGTCATATGGCTGGATGGGGTCATGTCATCAGTGATGTCTACACTTAGGAC